TTCATCTCAGTCACCAAGTTTTTATCTCTGTCGGGTTGTGGTTTGGGGGTTGGGGGTCAACGGGTGGGGGAGGCGGAAGTGAGGGGGGGAAATTGAGGAGGAAGGAGCCTTGGGAAATCTCACATTTTGCTTTTTTGGTGTTATTTTTGGTCACCCGAGTGTCTGACACTTGTGGAAACCCATTACTGTTGCTTAACAGTCTCCAAACCCAACTGAGAATTCCACGCACCTACACATGGAAATCCCAGAGATAGATTGTTGGAATGGAATGCGCTCTCTCTCTCTCTCTCTCTCTCACACTCTCTCCCTGGTGGGTTGCGTCCTGCTTACCTAATTCCGGAGAGTATTAGGCGCGGGTTGGTGAGAGCCAAGGCTTTGGTGGGAGCCCAGAGTGTACTCAAACCACATAGCGTGCCGTTGAGAGCACATATCGGGTTCCCATGACCTCATCTCATTTTCACGTTTGCTAAGAACTTCTCAGAAGCTCAATTTGAGGTGAGGCGTTTCACAGGATGAGAAGTAGGCCAATAATCCCTTCAAAAAAAACAATTGGTCACTCAATCCCCGACTGTGTGATGCCACTGCATGCAAAAGGATACCAAGTTTCACTCACTAAACTCACGGTCACTCCGCTTTCTGTGAAGCGCTTTGAGATGTCTCGAAGACGTGATATATCAAATGCAAGGATTATTATTATCATTTTTGAGGCCATACAGCCCCTCGAGGCTGTTCCGCTATTCTTTTGGGATCATGGTTGATATGAAGAACCAACTCCAGGTGTCAACAATAACAGCAAATTACATTTGTATAGCACCTTTCGCATCAGGAGAACGTCCCAAAGAGCTGAAGCAGGGTTGGTTGGTGGGTGGGTGGGTTGGTTGGGTGGTTGGTTGGTTGGTGGGTTGGTTGGTTGGTGAGTGGGTTGGTTGTTTGGTTGGTGAGTGGGTTGGTTGGTTGGTGGGTGGGTGGGTGGGTTGGTTGGTTGGTTGGTGGGTTGGTGGGTTGGCAGGTTGGTTGGTGGGTTTGTTGATGGGTTGGTTGGTGAGTTGGTTGGTGGGTAGGTTGGTTGGTGGGTTGGTTGGTGAGTTGGTTGGTTGGTGGGTTGGTTGGTGGGTTGGTTGATGGGTGGGTTGGTGGGTTGGTTGGTTGCAGAGTTGTTGGGTTGGCCCCATTGAACCGAGCTGCTTTGTGAAGGTGGGTTTCACCATTTATCTGGTGGGGGTGTGCGGGGGATAGAGGTAGCGTGTGTGTTGACTGTGAGGAAGCGGTTGTGTGTCTCAGCACTGTCCGTGTTGGATGAGAGGGGGTTCCTCAGAGTCTGCATCCCCAACGTCTTCTGGAAGGTCTCGGTGGTGAAGTAATAGGCCACGGGGTCCAGCACCGTGTTCCAGGAGGCGATCACCATGGCGATGCGGTAAACCTGGGCCACGTTCAGATTCAGCAGGAAGAGGAAGAGGATGGTATGGTAGGGCAGGAAGCAAATGATAAAGATGATCACATTGGTGAGGACCATGTTCCTGATCTTCTGACAGTCCACCATGTCCATCTGGGCCACCGTGCTCAGCCTGACCGCCCGGAGCAAGGCCACCGATGAGATCACCATGGTGACCAAGGGAGTCCCGTAACCAATCACCAACGACAGCACCACTGAAGATGGCCTCGTAATGTAGCTCGGGTGCTCGTCAAAGCAATTGGTGCAGCTTTCATTGTTGCTTCCTCCAGTTTTTCTCAGTTTGGTGATGAGGTAAGCAGGCATGCTCGCTCCGACCACCAGCACCCACACCCCCACGCTGATCCACACAGCCTTCTTGCGGAACTCGTTGACCCGGCATTTGAGGGGGAAGCAGATGGCCACGCACCGGTCCAGGCTGATGCAGGTGAGGAAGAAGATGCTGCCGTACATGTTGATGAAGAAGATGAGGCCATTGATCTCGCAGATGGTGCGGTCCAGGGGCCTGCCGGTGGAGTACATGTAGATCTTCAGGGGCAGGGAGATGACCAGCAGGAGGTCGGCGCAGGCGAGGTTCTTCATGTAGACCGTGGTCTGCGAGCGGATCTTGGTGAAGCGGAAGAAGAAGATCAAGGCCAGGAGGTTGAAGAGGAGACCGATAGTGAAGATGATGCTGTACACGGTCGCAAACAGCCACTGTGCGTGGCTCTGCTTGTTGCAGATCTCGGTTTGATTTGTGGTTGAGTTAGCCATCGCTCGGCCTGGCTTCCGATGCCAATCAGACTCCACCTGAGGGAGGAAAGCAGGGTCACAGTGGTTTGGGCTCAGTTCACCCTCTCTTCCCTGCTCACTCCCTCGCTCGTCCCTCCACCCTCCCTCTCCCCCATTCCACCTCGCTTCACCCCCAACCGCCCCCAGCATCCACCACCCGTCTGTGCCCTTGGCATCGCATAGTCTCAGGTCTAATGCAGAGATGGGGTGTTGCATTTTCTGGAGGTAATAAGCCCTTCAAATCAGACACACACAGACAGACGCACACAGACAGACGCACACAGACAGACACACACAGACAGACACACACACAGACAGACACACACACAGACAGACATACGGATAAGATAGCATCTCGGAGTGTTTAAGCCTGGGTGACGTGGCAGCAGATAACTCCAACCTGGAAAATCGTTACCATCTTGTGGTCAGGGCATTGCACCGTTCTCCTCACATAACGTCCCTCAAACTCTCCCAAATAACGACAACTTGAACAAAGTGATCCTCTATTGCCCTCTCTACACCCCTCCATTGCCCTCTCCCATTCCCCTCACTCACACCTCTCTATTCTCCGCTGTTTCCCGTATTGATCTGGGTTTACTTATTGAATCCCACTTATGTATGTATGTTATGAAGTCTCCTGTGAGACGTCGGCCCAAGATTGAAGAGCTCTAACTATCTAATCATTGCTCACAGTTCATTCCCCTAACACTGGTTCAGTCTGGCTCAGTGGTAGCGCTCTCTCTCTCTCTCTCTCTCTCTCACACACATCTCTGAGTCAGAAGGTTGTGGGTTCAAGCCCTCGGGTCAGGACTTGGCATCACACAGTCTGAGCCGATGCTCCAGTGCAGCCCTGGTGGGGTGTCACAGTGTCGGAGACGCCGCCCTCCGGGTGAGATGTTAAACCTCTCTCACTCCCCGTCTGCTGTTCAGGTGGACGTCAAAGATCTCCCTCAGCGCTGTTCGAACAGAGAAGGGAGTTCCTCTCTCTCTCTCTTTCTCTCTCTCATTCTCGCTGACAATCCCCCAAATAAAAATGATCGCTCACTTCACAACTAGGTGTGGGACACTGCTGCTGAGAAATCACTCCTGACTCCCTCAGTCCACACACACACACACACACACAACCAGAGACACACAGACACAAGCCGACACACACACACTCACACACGCAGAGACACACACAGACACACACACCCACACACAGAGACACACACACAGACTGACACTGCAATGTCAGCTCTTTTCGAACCATATCTCTCAGCAAAGGTTACATTCACGCTTTATCTTTCTAAACCAAGTGGAACAGAGATTTTATTATTAACAACAACAACAACAACAACAATAATAATAATTTGGTATTGCGCCTCATCACATTGTTAAGTTGTCTCAAAGCGTTTCACAGGATATACCGTAAAGTGAAGTATGGATTTTGTGAGTGAGGGGAGACACTGAGAGAGAGAGAGAGAGAGTGAGGGGAGTGAGGTTTAACGTCTCACCCAAAAAGCACATCTCTGACAATGCGTCTCTCTCTCTCTCTCTCTCTCTCTCTCTCTCTCTCTCTCCCACCCCCCAACCCCCCGCCCGCCCCCTCCCAGGTCAGTCGACATGAAGGGGGTTCGAACCCACGATCTCCTCCTGCCTCGGAGATGATATGTTTATGTGGTCAGGCGATCTCAGAACCGGTGAGAGTGAAACTCTTTGTGGCCTTGTATTTGACTGTATTCCTCCCGACCTGGGTTTTGATTGTTCGGTAAAGCACTAGAGACTCGTAAATTGGTTTTATACTTCTCACGCTACTTAAAAGCAAGTCCTGTAGCTCAGTGGTTAGAGCTCACACCTCACAAGTGAGAGACCTGGGTTCGATTCCCGGCAGGGCGAAATGTTGAGCAAGTTTCCTTACTCGAGACACGCACGCATTCGCACACATACACACAAGCCTGATGATAATCCCTCAAGAAAATAAAAATAATAATAATTTGGTCACTCAATCCACGACTGTCTGTGGGACGCTGCTGTGCGCAATTGGCTGCCGCGTTTCGCCCACAAAATATACGGTCAATTCACTTTACAGTGTATCCTGCGAAGCGGCTCAGTCAGTGTGTGTGTGTGTGTGTGTGTGAGTATGTGTCAGCCCGGCTCAGTGTGTGTCAGTGTGTGTCAGCCCGGCTCAGTGTGTGTGTCAGCCGGGCTCAGTGTGTGTCGGCCCGGCTCAGTGTGTGTGTCAGTCCGGCTCAGTGTGTGTCAGCCCGGCTCAGTGTGTGTCAGCCCGGCTCAGTGTGTGTGTCAGCCCGGCTCAGTGTGTGTCAGCCCGGCTCAGTGTGTGTCAGCCCGGCTCAGTGTGTGTCAGTGTGTGTCAGCCCGGCTCAGTGTGTGTCAGCCCGGCTCAGTGTGTGTCAGTCCGGCTCAGTGTGTGTGTCAGCCCGGCTCCGTGTGTGTCAGCCCGGCTCAGTGTGTGTGTCAGCCCGGCTCAGTGTGTGTCAGTGTGTGTCAGCCCGGCTCAGTGTGTGTCAGTGGGTATCAGCCCGGCTCAGTGTGTGTGTCAGCCCGGCTCAGTGTGTGTCAGTGTGTGTCAGCCCGGCTCAGTGTGTGTCAGCCAGGCTCAGTGTGTGTCAGTCCGGCTCAGTGTGTGTGTCAGCCCGGCTCCGTGTGTGTCAGTGTGTGTCGGCCCGGCTCAGTGTGTGTGTCGGCCCGGCTCAGTGTGTGTGTCAGCCCGGCTCAGTGTGTGTCAGTGGGTGTCAGCCCGGCTCAGTGTGTCAGGGTGAGTCAGTGGGTGTCAGCCCGGCTCAGTGGGTGTTAGCACTCTCGCCTCTGAGTCAAATGGCTGTGGGTTCAAGCCACATATCAGAACTTAGACAAACATACCCAGTTTATCTAATCCTCATTACCCGTAGTGACATCTTAATCATTCTGCTTACCCTCTGTATTCTCTCAATCGCTGTTGGGTTTGGAGACTCTTAAGCACAGTGATGGGTTTCTGCAGGTTTCAGACACGCACTTAACCAAAAAAATAGTTTGTACTACTCTTCCCTCCCCCCAACTGCCCTGTGTGAGAGACGATATAGAAATATAGAAATGCAATCTGTTGTTGTTGACTTTCTCGCTTAGATTGTGTGATCTCAAGTCCTGGTGTGTGAACCCACAACCTTTTGACTCAGAGGCGAGAGTGCTAACACACACTGAGCCGGGCTGACACACACACGCACACACACTGAGCCGGGCTGACACACACACACGCACACACAATGAGCCGGGCTGACACACACACGCACACACACTGAGCCGGGCTGACACGCACACACTGAGCCGGGCTGACACGCACACACACTGAGCCGGGCTGACACACACACACACACACACACTGAGCCGGGCTGACACACACACGCACACACACTGAGCCGGGCTGACACGCACACACACTGAGCCGGGCTGACACACACACACACTGAGCCGGGCTGACACGCACACGCACACACACTGAGCCGGGCTGACACGCACACACACTGAGCCGGGCTGACACGCACACACACTGAGCCGGGCTGACACGCACACACACTGAGCCGGGCTGACACACACGACAGGCGAGAATGACTACGGTCTTTAAGATTCTGAGGGGAATGGATAATGTAGAGTCCGTGATAAGCTGTTTTATGTTGTACTGAACGGTAGAACCAGAGATTGACGGCGGGAAAAATTCAGAACAAATCTGCGGAAACACTACTTCAGTGAATGAGTAGTAAACATAGACAACAGGTTCCCGAGGGAGACAAGACAGACAGACAGATGGAAGCAGATCACATCACTTGTTTCAAGAACAAATGATAGAGATTTCTGCTAGAAAATAATATCTCGGGGAGACAGTATATAGTTTGGGGCACAGCGTGGCGATGCCCACCAGGACGGTGGGAGGCAAATTAGACGGACCTCAGTCTTTTATCGGCAGCAAATTCTCATCTTCTTGGGCTCAGGTCTGTCCCGACTGAGGGACTCTTTATAAATAGAAGTTATTGTTGTTCTTGTAAAACCCCAGAGAGAGATCGTTGGGATGGAATGCGCTCTCTCTCTCGTTCTCTCCCCCTGGAGGGACGCCCTCTGCTTACCTAATTCCGGAGAGTGTTAGGCGCAGGTTGGCGAGAGCCAAGGCTTTGGGGGGAGCCCAGAGTGTGTTAGGGGGTAACTGCTGGGGTCTAACCGGCTAAACCCACATACAGCTCGGCCATCGAGAGAGAGAGAGAGAGAGAGAGAGCGAGCGCTGTGTGGCCGAGCTTTCCTGCTGCTTGTCCAGCGAGGACCCCCCTCCCCGTTAGTTAGTTGGGGCTTTGGCTGTGGGGGTAACAGGAGCTGAGGGGGAGGATTCCCGGCCCCCAGTGAGTGGTCGGCCCTTCCAAGTCCTGCCGATGAGCCGGGTCGGGCCGGGCCGCCATCAGCAGTGAGTGCCCTGGGACCCTGCGGCCCCTCCCGGCTCAGGAACCGGGGACTAGAGACCGTCACAGAGAGGGTGGGTGGGGGGGGGGGGCTCGATTCTGACCTCCCATCAACTTGGAGCCAGTTCAGCTCTGAGGAGACCCCACATAATATAATACAGTACGTGCTGATATCCAGGCTGCTTGTTGGATAGCGTTGGTAAATCTATCTCTGTTACTCTGAGTGAGAAGATGGGTGGGGGTCGAATGTGTTGGGAACAAGTGGAAATGAATACACCACTGCATTACATTTCAGCAATTTTAGACGAGCGCCTTCTGTTCGCTTTGTGTGCTCGCAAGAACATAAGAATTTGTTAGGCGGAAGAAGACCGAGTTCTGTCCACCTTCCTGGCAGTTGCATGACATGTCACGTCCCAAATTCTGAGATATTTGTAAACAGAAATCTATCTCATTTGTTCTTCAAAGAACTTGGGCAAGTTTCCTGACTCCACACATCTGATAATAATCCCTCCAAAAACAAAACAATAATAAATTGGTCATTTTCAATCTACGACTGTTTGTGGGACATTGCTGTGCGCAATTGGCTGCCGCGTTCGCCCACAAATATACAGTCAATTCACTTTACAGTGTGTTCTGTGAAGCGCTTTGGGACGTCTCTCCGACGTGAAAAGCGCTATATCAAATGCAAAGATTATTATTATTATTATTAATACATCCTGTATACACTGCAAATATTTATAGGCGTATGTACACAGTCACTTCACTTTACAGTATATCCTGGGAAGCGCTTTGAGACGTCTCAGTGACGTGATGAGCGGCTTTATCGAGCGCAAGGTTTATTTCGTTTCGGGAGTGGGGAGTGACAGAGTTTCGAGCGTAGCGGCCAAAACTGGGGGCGCAGATGGTGGAACAGAGGGCACGAGGGTACGGGCAGGGGGTGGAGCCTGTTGAGCGGGTAGTGAGCAGGTTGGAGAGCTGCCAGGCTCGGACGAGCGAAAGGATCTTGAAATCACTCCGTTCTGACACAGGAAACCAGATACACAACATCAAAGGTCTGATCCTGGTACAGTCAATAACACTCTCCCCACATCACGCGGCCCAGCACTGAGGGGAGAGGGAGAGAGAGAGCGAGAGAGAGAGAGTCTCACTCGCTCTCTCTCCTTCACTCTCTCACACTCTCTCTCCCTCACACTCACTCTCTCTGACACTCTCTCTCTCTCACACTCATTCTCTCTCCCCCTCACTCGCTCTCTCTCTCACACTCACTCACTCGCACTCTCTCCCTCACACTCTCACACTCAATCTCTCATTCCCTCTCACACTCTCTCTCCCTCACTCTCTCTCTCTCACACACACACTCATTCTCTCTCCCCCTCACTCTCTCACACTCTCACACTCACTCACTCTCTCACTCACTCCCTCTCTCTCTCACTCTCTCCCCCTCACACTCGCCCTCTCCCCCTCACTCTCTCACACTCACTCCCTCTCTCTCTTTCACTCTCTCACACTCTCTCCCTCACACTCGCCCTCTCCCCCTCACTCTCTCACACTCACTCCCTCTCTCTCTTTCACTCTCTCACACTCTCTCCCTCACACTCGCCCTCTCCCCCTCACTCTCTCACACTCACTCCCTCTCTCTCACACTCACTCCCTCTCTCTCACACTCACCCCCTCTCTCTCTTTCACTCTCTCACACTCTCTCCCTCACACTCGCCCTTTCCCCCTCACTCTCTCACACTCACTCCCTCTCTCTCACACTCACTCCCTCTCTCTCACACTCACTCCCTCTCTCTCTTTCACTCTCTCACACTCTCCCTCACACACTCGCCCTCTCTCCCTCACTCTCCCTCTCACACACTCTCCCTCTATCTCTCTCACACTCTCACTCCCTCTCTCTCTCTCCCTCTCTATCTCTCTCACACTCACCCTCTCCAACCGTCGCCCCTTCTGTGAACAGTGCGACTGCGCGGCCGGAGCCTGCGCACTCCGCGCCTGCGCAGCAGCCGAGCGCCGCCATCTTTGACGCTGGCAAAAGACTCAGCGCAAAAGCTGCCGCCATCTTTAACGCTGGCAACAACACAGCGGCTCGCCTTCGCCATCTTTGATGCTGGCAACTTCTGGTCGTGGCTCATCAAGGTCACTGTGGGCTTGCAGACAGCTTAGCCCTCCCCCCCACCCCCCAAAAAATAAAGCACACAGTCACTACATCTTCACCGCTAATGTACTGAGCCACTTTAAGATTCAGATATCCTCCTGGCGTAAAATAATAATCTCTCATAGTTTTTGTTCAGTGAATGGTCTGACACACACACACGGAAACCCGTCACCGTGACCGGTCGGGTGTCTGACCCACACGGAAACCCGTCACCGTGACCGGTCGGGTGTCTGACATACACGGAAACCCGTCACCGTGACCGGTCGGGTGTCTGACACACACGGAAACCCGTCACCGTGACCGGTCGGGTGTCTGACACACACACATGGAAACCCATCACCGTGACCGGCCGGGTGTCTGAATGGCCTCCTTTTGTGATGCAAATTTCTATGATACTATTTTTGCGTTGAAACGTCTCAAGGCGCCTATCAAGATTTTCTCTAAAGTGTAGTGACTGTGTGTTTTTGTGTACAGCGATGTCCTGCAAACAGCCATGAAGTGAGTAAGCGATTTTATCTGGGGGATTATCGGCCAGGATCCCAGCGAGAGAGAGAAATGCTCCCTTCTCTTCCCCACTCACCCCCCCCCACCCGAAAACGCCCCGTGAGATCTTTAACGTCCACCTGAACAGGGCACAGACCTCAACGTGGGGACGGAGGATGTGGGGGGGGGGGGTGGTTGACCTATGTGACTCAGGGTATGCGTCAGAGAGGTGTACAAGTGGAATTGGAGGAAGAGAAAAGCAGAGAGCAAGGACACCTGATGAGAGCTATCTTGGTGATTTATTGGTTAGATCTTAACAGATGTCAGGTGTTGAATTGACACCATCACAGGCGGAAAAAGAACAAGCTGTCCTTCGGACTGTGAAGAGCTTGGCACTTCCTTCAGGTATTTGCCTGACGACAGAGCTCCCTGGACTGCTCCGCCCAGCCCTGCCCATCCCAGCCCTGCCAGGCACTGGCTCAGTTCACAGACGTGGTGCGCAGAGACTTGACCTGACCCTTGATGGTGTGCTTGACGGTCAACCAGTCTATCACGTTGCCCCTGTAGATGGGGTCTCCCATGCTGATGGCACGGATGGTGCTGGTGGTCAGGATGTGGTCCCAGAGATGGACGTCAGCGATTTCGCCCACGAGGCATTTCTCTTGCTGGAAGCCTCCTCCGACTCTGCCTTGCTCCTGCCCCAAGACCACTTTGCCCCTGGCTTGATGGGGTTGGACGGCTCCAAGGCCTTGCGTACGCTGGGTCTGCCGTTGATGTGGAGGATGACTTGCTTGGCCATCATGTCGCGCCTGGCGCACACGTGGACCCAGGAGCTCAGCTGGCTGGAGCGGACAAGGAAAGGGATCTTGACTCCGGACACGGTCAGGCTGACCGTGGTCTCGTCCTCCCGTTTGAGCAGCAGCTCACTGGGGCTGCTCTGGGTGGCGTAGGAGAAGAGAACGTGCTGCCGGGGGCTCTCTGTGTTGACGCGCAGGCACAGAGTGAAGTTCTTCAGGTCCATGTCTCGGCTCGGAGTGAGGAGGACATGGTTGGTGTCGCTGGGAGTCGAGAAGATCAGGGACTCGCCGATCAGCCCTGAGGGCACGAGCACAGAGCGAGGACAGCGGTCATTGCAGTTGGTAGTGGTCACTCGGTGTAATAATAATAATAATAATCCTCACATTTGATACGGAGCCTGATCACGTCTTCGAGACGTCTCAAAGCGCTTCACACAATACACTGTAAAGTGTAGTGACTGTGCATTTTGTGGGAGAAACGCAGCAGCTAATTGCGCCCAGCGACGTCCCCGCAAACAGCCATGGGTTGAGTGACCGAATTCTTCTTCTTATGTTGTTTTGAAGGGATTATTACCCCCAGAAAGTGATCCCCCAATCGACTAACAAGCGGGTTCCTACTGACTGCTGGGAAACACAGGCGTGTGTGTGTGTGTGTGTGTGTGTGTGGAGTAAGGAAACTTGCCCAATGTTTCGCCCTGACCTCCCACCCGGGAACCGAACCCAGGTCCTCTCGCTTGCGAGGCGAGGGGTCTAACCACTGAGCTACAGGATTCCATGTAGGCCTGAATGGCCTCCTGTTCCTGTTTCTATGATTCTATGTGAGCTCAGAATCGTGTGGGGGGGCTCGAGCCAACATTCTAGGGTTGGAATATTTGGGAGTAGGACAGGACGGGAGTGTTTGAGTGTTTGACGGTGGGATGTCTTACCCTGACGATCCTCATCTGCAGAAGCCAAACCTGAGAGCAGACAGGAGGCCACAATCAGCAGGAGACTCTTCATGGTGGTGGAAGAGCACAGACACCTCAAGCACTGACACCTGGGGGAACAGCACAGACGCCTCAATAACAGGACGTCAACTCAATGTTAGTTAATCGCCAACAAAAAATAGAGCCACTACACTTTAGAGTATATCCTGTGAAGCGCTTTGAGACGTCTCGAAGACATGAGGGGGGGGGGGGAGGTAAAAACATAGTAAAGTATAGTCCACCACAGTTAAACTTGAGATCAACAAAAGCAAGAGAGCAGATTAACAAGGGAGAAGAGCAAAGTGTGTCAAGCCGGGAAAGGAAGTACAGTGATAGAGTGTTGGTGAATAGGGTTAATAGCCGGAAGTCAGAATTAAGGGCACTATATCTGAATGCACAAAGCATTCGTAGCAAGATAGATGATTGCACTTTGCGAAGACAACTCTGGCCAAGATTGACCATCAATAAATAGGTAAGATTGCTGATGTTTGAGGTCACCCTGTCCTGCCCTGTCCTGCCCCAGACCAAGGCCTACAGTCAGGATGTTCTGTGTTAGTTAGGATGTGACTAGTGGAGTACCACAAGGATCAGTGTTTGGGCCTCAGCCATTTACAATCTACATCAATGATCTAGACATTGAATGTAACGTATCTAAATTTGCGGATGACACTAAACTCGGTGGGAGAGTGAGCTCTGAGGATGATAGAAAAGATTGTAACAGGATATAGATAGGCTCGGGGAGTGGGCGAGTCGGTGGCAGATGGAATTTAATGTGGGGAAGTGTGAAGTTATTCACCTCGGTGGTAAAAATAGAAAAACAGATTATTTTCTAGAGAAGGAGAGATTAGTTAGTGTTCAGAGGGATTGGGGTGTCCGTGTACACCAGTCTCAGAAAGTTAGTTTGCAGTGCAGCAGCAACTAAGAAGGCGAACGGCAGTTAGCGTTCATTGCAAAAGGTTTAGCGTACAAGAGAGGGAAGTCTCACTGCAACTGTATAGGGCTTTGGTGAGACCGCACCGAGAGGATTGTGTGCAGTTGTGGTCCTTATTTAAAAAAGGACATACTTGCCCTCGAGGGGGTGCAGCGTAGATTCACTCGGTTAGTTCCTGGGATGAGGGGACTGACCTATGAGGAGAGGCTGAATAAACGAGGACTGTATTCTCCAGAGTACAGAAGAATTAGGAGAGATCTTATTGAGACATATAAGATCCTTAAAGGGCTGATAAAGTAGTCACTGAGGGTCTGTTTCCCCCAATAGGAGAATCTATAACCGGGGACACAGCCTGAAAATTGAGGGTCAGCCTTTGAGAACAGAGTTGAGGAAACATTTCTTCTCTCAGAGGACAGTGAGTGTATGGAATTCACTCCCCAGAAGGGCTGTAGATGTCAGTCCTCGAACATCTTCAAGGCTGAGACTGAGAGATTTTTAAAAAAATATAGGGATTGGGGGATTGGGGA